AGTTTCTATAGCTCTCGGGTCGACGTCTTGTTGGGGATGGGCTTGGAAAGCCCCTTGGCCGCCGAGCACCCCAGGCACTCCCGGAGCTCGCCCACCAGCGTCGTCCCTTGCTGCTTCGCCGTGGTCCTCAGCAGCACCTCGTGGGAGTGGCCGTGCGCGCAGTGGAAATCGTTGATGTCAACGGGGGTGCTGGGCGCTTTCGCGTTGCCAGGAGCAATTGCGGCACAGGCATGTTCGGTGTGTGTGCGGAAACCGTTTTGGACGTACAGGTTACCGCATCGGGGGAAGTACACCACCTCCCCCCCCCCTCTCTCCAACTCCAACTCGTGTTTGTTGAGGGTTTTGGTTTCGAACCCGTCGTCGAAGAGGGAAGTGAGAGATAATAGGTTGTAGTCTAGTCGGGGAACGTGTGCAACCCGTTTCAACAACAGGTCGGTTGTACCGTCGCGCGAGCTAAGGGTTACCGTCACGTCGCCGTACCCCACAATGGGGAAAAGATTTCTCCGGCGGCGACGCTCACACGTCGATCACACTTTTCGTAACGAACGAATCCATCTGAGTTCGCGAACGTGTAGGTGGTAGCGCCGGTATCGGCAACATACCTACCCCGCCTAGCCTGCTCTACACCCCCTCGACCAACGACTTTGTGACACTCGCCTGAGATGTCACCGACCACCAGCGCTTCTTCTGCCACGTCCAGTGCTGTGGCGTCCGCAGACGAGCCGCCGCCGCCGCCGCCGCCGCGACCCTTGCGGCGGCCGCTGTTGCCGCGCCCAGGCGCTCCTCCCCCGCCGCTACCGTCACTCGCGAGGAGAGCATGCTCTGCCCTACGCTGGCCCTTTGAGGCCTTCCTCCCCTCCGGGAGGCTCGCGTGCACCGTGCTCACGATCCTGACGATCTCGGCCCTATCCAGCGCCGTTGCTGTCTCCAACAGGAACTTCGCTTGTTGGTACTCGGGTGGGAGGGAACCAACGAAGTGGGCGAGAACGAAGGGTTGTTCAGCATTGAGCCCCTTTTCGCGCAGGCGGGCATACAGCAGCTCGAGAGAGTAGAGGTGCTCGATGGGGTTGCTGTTGCTGTGTGTGGGGATTGCAAAGTCGAACATCTTCCGCATCAAGGCCTGTTTTGACCCCTGTGACTCCGGATCGTACACCTTTCCCAATTCCGCAAGGACCTCTTTCGCCGACGTACAGTTGCTGACGATTGCTTTGTCGGCTTCTTCTACCACAGCAGTAGTGATAAAGTGGAACGCCTGAAGCCCTCGTTGGACTTCTGCTCTCGTGTACCCCCTACGGAGCAGTTCGGAAGTCGGCAAGTTTGGGTCGCCCACGGGGATACAGCTCTCTGCACCTCCTAAAAACAGCCCGTCCAAGTCGATGGTCTTCGCAGCTTGGATGAATGATTTTCGCCACGAGTCAAATCCGTGGCTACGGCTTTTTAGGATCTGTTCTCCGCTCGCAGCAGCGCGCTCTTCGTCTCCAGCAGAGCTCATCCCGATGTGACTTCCCTCGAGGGGCAAACAGAGTGTTTGCGGCCTGCGCCACTTGTTTATCGGGTGAGACTGTTTTGGTGATGTATTAACTTCTCGGGAGGTAGACGACC